CACATCTATTTTGGTATTAGTTGGTATGTAAGGTGCTGCTCGAATTATTTTATTTATTGGTTAAAACTGCACGGTGGTGTAGATTTTTAGTATATCAGGGGAGTGGAAATTCCAGTCTTCACATAATGAGAAAAAAATCCAGTTGAAAGTCTAAAAGAGGTGAAAACATATTCAAATCTGTGAACAAGTAAACTAGTTTTGTCATCGGACAACAACAGGAGTGTTTGTGTGATCGGTGGATGCAAAATGTGTATTAAAGGTTTCCACGCTATAGAGTAGGCAGTCATGGCTTTAAAGCGTTTGGTACAATTTACCTGTTTGTTTCAGGTAATGATGCCGTAGGTCAGCAGGTGTAGGTCAATAAAGCATAATGTGACCTCTGTATGGATACATGTGTGTGTTTCAGATGCCCTCAACACTGTGAGTTGTTTTATAATCCATCTGGAATTCAGCACATCCAGATCAACTGCAGGGTAAGCTGGTACTGACCGCTAACAACCTGGACTAAGGAGCTGCGTCGATTCTGGCAGATTTTGTAAGACCAGAGTGTATGTTTGAGAGCAAACGCGTGGTACCAGGGTGGCTCCAGGGGCTCTAAGGAGATCAACACTGAAACAAAGTCCAACATCGTTATTCTACAAAGAGAAATCTGTGCGGTGGGTATGTGTGAACTGGCAGCTAAGTGGTTCTCAAGCTGTTTACCAACTTGCTGAGAGTTTTTCACGGATTTGAAGCCACAGCATGCACTGTAATTTATTCTGTCACTGTGCCTCTGTCTTTATGTGTTCTGTTTGTGTGTTAGACTGGGAGGCAGCAGGGCGTTTCCCAGGGGCTAAAAATTCACTAAAGGATAAAGCTCATACACAAATGTAAATCACTTCACCCTTCCTGCTTGAAACCAGGCACTGAAAACATGCAGAAATGGCTCACACTCTGAAATGCCTTTGAGATTCTGATAATTATGTTTATATATTTTGTTGCCTCGGACCAAAAAGGTCAGGCAATAAGCAAGTTCAGCTTCCAGGCAGGAAGAGATTTGTTGTGATGTTTGTCACAACGTCTTACAAGAACAATGATTAAGAATCACCCCGAGCATCTCTACATCCAAGCCCTTTTTGAAAGGTTTTCTTCTAGTTTATTAGGCTCTGCAGCTTCATGTTTTTACTCTCAAGCTCTACAAAAGTAGGTTTGAAAATAAGCTAATATATTGATTAAGCATAACATTATGACCACCTGACTAATAAAGGAGTTGGTCCCTCTTTTCCTGCCAAAACAGCCTTAAACCATTGAGGCATGGACTCTACTAAACCCCTGAAGGTGTGCTGCGGTATCTGGCACCAACATGTTAGCTG